TATGAGTAACCATATAGCCTGGAAATTTTAACTCTTCACTCCTGGCTCTTCTGTTTTGACCATTTCTTTCCCTGAACCAAATGCCTGCTACTTCAGGCCCTGCAACATAAGTATGCTAGGGTGAGAATGCAACATCATTAATCTGATTTTTACCACTCAATTCCCCTTCATTGTCAGATTCTTCCCAAAGGAAGGTGTTTGAAAAGCTCTGGAGCAATGATATTAATCTCTTTTTGAAGTTGAACTTAGAAACTTCTGCTTATGTAGGTGTATTTTGGGACACAGAGGCAGCTGGATTTTTCTCAACCCTGCAGGGTTCCAAATTATGATACTCTCAGTCAATTTATATTGTAGGATACAAGCAGAGTGAGTCTCTTTTGGTATAACTGTGTTCCCTTGTATCTCTGCTTACAGACTCTCTAGCTCCAGCTTAAGTGTGTCTCCACTGTAGTACATTTTTGAAAACAGCAAGATTTAATAAGTACCTGCCAACATTCTGAATTTTATTCCTACCATTCACACTAATGAAAAAGATTCAGTTGATATGTGGTCAGGATGCCAAGGATTCCAATGGCAAGCTGCAGTTTGACCAGCTGTTTTGCTATTTCATTTCAAATGCGTTGGCTTTCCAGCCGAGGTAATGAAATCCTCAGTTTGCCTCCATCGTCTTCTCCAGAGTCACCTCTACATTTTAAGTTCTGTTATTACAGCTCCCTTTACTCTTTAAAAATTACATTAGTTAGTGCACTTAGTTGCAAACAAGAGTTCACTCTGCTTTTTGCATAAGAGGATTATTTCATAGACTATTAGGTTGCTCAAGAGTTTTTGGAGAGTCCAGAGTATAAGCCTCTGAAGCTACTGTGCAGGATCAAAGTCCAGTTACATCATGTATTTCCTTCAAGAAAATACCATTGCCTCCAGTGATCCATGCCTTTGCTCCTCAGCACTAAATACCTAAAACTTTACATCAACTACTAAAGATTCCACTATTGTTGTCAAGGAGACGAAAATAGCACTCATCATTTTGCTCAATTTTGAGTTCAGATATGGCTTTAGTGCAAGTCAAACACTACGCCATAGCTACAGAATGTCTGGTAATATGAGTTGTCCGGCTTCAGTCTTGAGAAGATGAGGAACATAGGGAGAGAAGGAAGCTGGACATTTCCTCTTAATGACTCTACCACACTATCTTAAACTCTACTTTTTTGCGAGTTGCAAAATCCTTGTATATTTTCCAATCATTGAAACAGCAGCTCCACTGGTGTCTTTACTCTGTGGGGGTTAAAATGTGGGTTTATTTTAGTTTAAGAATGAAACAGAATGGAAAACATTGCTTACATTTTAATATTCCTCAAAATAGCTTTTTTGGGAAGGATAAATAAAAATAGGAACTGACTAGTCCCTATGAGAAAAATAAAACAGGCCAATGTTAGTTGTTACAAATGTTAATAATGTAAGATAACAATAGAGAAATCTGGCTGGAAGTCTATACACTATACAATCCAGCTTTCCCATTTCTGAATATTTACCAAAATAACACAAACACATTAATTTGAAGAGATTTAAAACTCCCATGTATGCAGCAACATCATTACAATAGCCATGAATTGATAATCTAAGTATCCTTTGACTTAAAAATGGGTAAAGAAGATGTGGTATATGCACATGATGGAATACTATTCAGCTATCAAAAATGAAATCCTGACATTTGCAATAGCATATTTGGACATAGAGGGTATAATACTTAGTGAAATAAGCCAGATGGAAAATAATTACTTTGTGATTTCACACATGGTATATAGAGAAATATTTTAAAAATAAATATACTTTTGGACTATAAGACAAATCATTGGTTACCAGAAGGGAAGGGAATAGGTAAACTAGGTAAAATCAGTCAATTGTATGGCAAGGGAGAGAACTGGACTTCCAGTGGAGAGCCTAATGTAGTATATATACATTGATTTGAATTTTAATGATGCACACCTGAAATTTATAATATTTAAATAGTTTATTTCATTAAAAATGAAAAAATTGAGTCAATGAGGAATGCAAAATCACACTAAATTTATAAGAACACATTAAAGTGCTGAATGCATTAATGTAACATATATTTTGATATTATATAAAGCAAAAGTTTGGTTGGTTGAATTATCTAACCTCACTAAACCTCAGTGTTGTCTAGCGTACTAGTAGCTGCTTGATAAATAACTGCTAAATGGGTGACTGAATTCATTGATGGTGATGTATGGATCAGGACTTAGTAAATGAGAACCTAGTAAGTTAATATAATAAAAACAAAAGCAAGCCAAATTAATGACAAAACTGAATAGAAATGTGAGCAGTGTTTTGGAAAGTATACTTGCACCTAGTAGAGAAGAGACCTATTTCTTTTATTTATTTATTTATTTATTTATTTATTTATTTATTTATTTATTTATTTATTTATTTATTTATGCAAGAACCAGGGTACAGGCCAGATGCGCGGGAGGGTGAGAGGATTCACCAGAGACAGCGGGGAACAGAACAGGTAGACTGACGAAATACACTGCTGAGGGGAGTAGCAGGCACAATGGGAGAGGTCTGCCAGTCCATGTAGGACCCTCGCCAGCTAACTGGTATTGAATTGGTGCTGCAGAGGCTGCGTGTGGACAGCTTCACAGTGCTGTGCTCAACCGCCTGCGCCACCAGGGAAGGTCCAAAGAAAGCTATTTCTATTAGAAATTTGGAAAGATAGTATTGTCTCTATTCTTGCTACATAATATATATGTAATGTTTATATAGTGTGAAATAATATATACACAATGCATGTGTGTACAAAGCTAGACAACACTGAGGTTTAGTGAGGTTAGATAATTCAACCAACCAAACTTTTGCTTTATATAATATCAAAATATATGTTACATGAATGCATTCAGCACTTTAATGTGTTCTTATAAATTTAGTGTGATTTTGCATTCCTCATGTGTGTATATGCATATATGTACAAAGATAGGAAAAGTTTTATATGTGAGTATACATATTTATGTATATGTTATTACTCTCTTCAATGGAATATTATTTGTGTATATTATTAACAAGCTAAACAGCCTTTATTAGATAACATAGTCTCAAAATATTCTTCAAAATGAGGCAGAGTATTTTATCATATTAAATAATGTTAGAAATGTTTACTAATCTTTATTATCTAGACAGCACTATTTACTGTAGTAGTTATTGCAGCTAAAAAACAAATTAAGTCTTTATCTCCTAGAACTTATAAACTCTAGTGATTTATTTTATAGACAAGGTGGCAGTAGGGGCTTCTTTTATTTTTAGTTCTCTTTGTGTTTGAAGTCAAATCCAAAATATCTTGGATATTTATGTGACATATTATGTAAGTCTTATGTAAAGCAACTTACTGCATATGTTTTCTTCTAGTTTTTTGGTTTCAAGTCTTAATAGTCAATCCTCGAATCCATTTTGAGTTCATTTTTGTAGATAATATATAAAATAGTGATCGAGTTTTGTACTTTTGCAAGTTTCTGTCCAATTTTCCCACCACCATTTATTTAACAGAGACTTCCATTTCCTCATTGTATATTCTTGATTCCCTTTTTATAAATTAATTGATCATACATGTGTAGGTTTATTTCTGGGCTCTCTGTTTTGGTCTGCTGATCTGTGTGTATGTTTTTATGCCAATACCATGCTGTTTTTGATTCCACAGCTTAGAATAGAGTTTAAAATCAGGGAGCATTATGAGTCCAGTTTTGTTTTCTTGAGATTCCTTTGGCTATATAGGGTCTTTTGTAATTTCATACAAATTTTAGGATTTTATGTCTTTTTGAGAAGCATGACATTGAAGTTTGTTTTTTTTTTTAAAGATTTATTTATTTATACAAGCACTGGGGTACAGGCCAGAGGTGCTGTGGGGTGAGAGAATTCACCAGAGACAGAGCAGGAAGCAGAACAGGCAGAAAGACCGAAAACACCATTGAGGAGAGCAGTGGGCAAAACATGAGTGGTCTGCTGCGCCATGTGGGTATCCCCCTGGCCAGCTGAGAATCCAACTGGCACTTTAGAGGCTGCAGACAGCTTCACAGCACCATGCTCAACCCGCTGCACCACCAGGGAGGCCCACCATTGAAATTTTGACAAGGATTGTATTGAATTTGTAGATTGCTTCGCGAGTTTGTAATTAATTTTGTATCATTTGTCCATTTGGTGATCTGGTGGCCACTATAGATCCTTTCTCAAAATGTATTTTTAAATGCATAAAATATTTATAAGAAAGTCAGTGACATATAAATTTTTAGTACAGTAATATAATTTTAAATAATAAATCAAGTTTCACAAATTATTAATGTTGTAAAAAGTAAATATAGAGAACATGCCCTCAAGATTTCTGACCTATATTTGATTATATCTCATTCAATTAAAGGGAATAGGATATAGTGACAGGATTTACATGCCCTCAAGATTTCTGACCTATATTTGATTATATCTCATTCAATTAAAGGAAATAAGATATAGTGACATAGGATTTCCTTATTAGCATTATTTAATTCAACTTTCCTTCAATATTCCTGATACCTGTTCTGGGATGAAATGAGTCAATGAGGAATCTCATTTCCTTTTATTATTTATTTATTTTTTTAAAGATTTATTTTTACAAGCACTGGGTACAGTCAGAAGCGCAAGAGGGTGAGAGAACTCACCAGGGCGGGGAACAGGACAGGCAGACCGGACGAAACACACTGCTGAGGGAAGCAGCAGGCTCAGCAGGAGAGGTCTGTTGCACCATGTGGGACCGTTGACTGTGGCCAGGGATGGAACCAGCACTGCAGAGGCTATGGGCAGCCTCGCAGCCCAGCGCTCAACCGCTGCGCCACCAGGGGAGGCCCTCTCGTTTCTTTTTAACATACTATGCTTTTCTGGATTAGGTATACTTTAACTAAGTTGATAACATCAATCACACTTAAAGTAATATTAATGGTTAACTTATCCACATTTATTTTCAGTGAGTGCCATAACTCCACAGATCGAATCAAAGTCAGAGTATGGGATGAAGATGATGACATTAAATCCAGAGTCAAGCAACATTTTAAAAAAGAGTCAGATGACTTTCTGGGACAAACGATTGTAGAAGTGAGGACCCTAAGTGGAGAAATGGATGTCTGGTACAACTTAGGTGATGATCTTTATATGCTTATTTGAAAAAAACTTACATAAATTTCAATATATATCTATAAATCTTACATAAATCTCAGTATATATGTGGCAAGCATTATTTTGTCATGTAGGTAAAAATAACCATTCCCTTTGTAGAATATTCTGTGATGTTCTGAGGATTTAATTTCATTGGAAACTAAGGGTATTATTAAATTCAAATAATCAAATTCAGTGTTACTGAAAGATGTAATTTGAGATGAAAAGAAAAGTCTTTAATGCACTGGGTATCTTTTAGGAGAAAAATGTTATCCCTCTCAATATTTAATTAAATATAACTTTTAAAACTTTTACCAAATATGTGAGATACAAGTAATACTGTCAATAATAAATAATACAATTAGTAATCTTATTTCTTTCCTTTTGGTCACTTAATAAAATGAAATTTATGAAGTTCTTTTTTTATTCTCAATAAAGAAAATACATATTTTAGCTATCTTTCAAATTGTATAAATGTAGACTTTAGTTGGCAAAAGCAAGTGCATATATGAACTTATGATAAAAATGTTGAGGCAGTTTCATTGGCATGATTTTTTTTTTCAAATTATGTTTATTGAAGTAAAGTTGGTTTACTTCATTGTGTCTGCTTTCTGGATTATAGATTTATACCTCTACTAATGTATATTTTTACATCATACCCACCACTAGTGCCCTAGTATTCCTCCACCATGTTCCAATGGACCCACTCCCTCCCACACACCCACCCACACTCCCTCACCCTCTGTTGCCTCAGTTGTGCAGAGTTGAAGGGTTTATTATTGGTTTAATTTGACCCTTTGTTTTGTTTCTCTGCACTCCACATCTAAATGATTTTTAATTGCCATTGTGTTTTGGTACTTATACATTACTGGCACAAAACTTGTTTACATCAGTTGTAATCATTGCCCTCCTTTATTTTGTTCATTCATGCTAGTTGTCATACTGAAATTGTCCTTCAGTCTATGGAGAGGTAATTACCATGCAAAACAACATGTAAGCTTTTGCACTTTCCCTGTTTCTTGTTTTGTGCCCTCATTGCTACTGTGTAGCCAAGAGAGAGAATGAACACTTAGAGGCCTATTACATATTAACAATAAAAAAAAAGTAGACATTCCATAAGAATAAAGGCACCCTCTTGATTTAACCTTATCTATTATTGCTAAAAGCAGATATGTTTACAAAGAGGGTCAATTAAAAGAACCTCCAATACTGACTCTTTTGTGTCTCAGCTTATTTTTTATTTGTGAAATGGGTCTTTTGCTCCTTTATTTTTCTTATGTGAAGTGGGTGTCAAGTGTAGGGCCTCTGTCTATGATCACACTACAAATTTTGTGACACTGCTTTTCTTTCAAAGCTTTTTTCATATTGGACATTATTCATTCACACCTTAGTTGACTGAATGGACTTCCTATTTATTCCATTTAAATAAGCAGTTAATCCAACATCTATAACTAAACACAGACTGTCAATTATAGGTCTTTATGAATCACTGAAAAAGAAAATTATTAGCATATTTTTTGTTGTTCTTAGGCAGAGATTTGGCTCATATTTTCAAGCACAGAAAGAAAAGAACCTGTGCAGTAGAAACTTTCAGATTAAATACATTTCTGGTTATGTTTATACTTCAGTTGTCTTGCTTTGAATTGCCCAATAATTTCATTGCATAAAGTGATCAAGTGCACAGATATGTATATAAGAATGATGGGTTCTTTGATTAAATTTATCAATTTAAAGTGTCATATAATGCGTTTTGACAACCAAAAATTAAACAATAGGCACATTAATGTAAATTGCATTTAGAGGAATCATTGATACCTAATAATAAAGCCTAACCTAGAAAAAAAAAAAGCCTTTTAGTCCCATAAGCTTTATTTTAAGCTTTTGAGATCTTATAAGAGAAATAGGGTGTTGAAAATAAGTTACTGATTGCTTTTTGCTTCCTCAGAGAAACGGACAGATAAGTCAGCTGTATCTGGGGCCATTCGGTTGAAAATCAATGTGGAAATAAAAGGAGAAGAGAAGGTTGCTCCATATCATATACAGTATACATGTTTACATGAGGTAATTAAATTGTTTTAATAATACCTAGAAAAGAAATTGTTGTTAATTATGGATTGTGCAAGAAGATATTTGGTTTAAAAACACAATTGAATTAGGTTTGTGCTGTTGTTCCTATACTTTTACTCTGTACTTAAGTACATGATGTGCTAGGATCATGTAGCCCATGTATATGATACCGGAAGAAGTGGTCCTCTAAAGAGCGTTTAGAAACAAGCACATGACACAGGCATTTATAAATAATTGAAAAACACTATATGAATAAAGTAAGCCAAGTTGAATTACCATTTCTTTTCATGAATGCCTGATTTCATAAGGCATTCATTGAAGAAATGAGTCATGACATACTTAGCATTTTAAACATACAGTACTTTACAAGGAGACAATCCAAATAACAACTGTTTAGGACAACTCTGAGTTAGCGCTCAGATTTTACTGAATTTAAATTAAGCTTATTGCTTATAAATAAAAATCTTAAAATGCCTGATGTGTCTCACATTTTGGAAGCCAATATAATAGGCAGCAATCTCTTTTTCTGTGTACAACAAAGGATTTCATAGACATTGAACCCTCCTTCATTTTCACCATCCTTTCTACAAACATATGTTAGAGAGTATCAGAATGTAGTTACCCAGCCAAGGATAGTAGAGAATACAGTCACTCCAATGGTAGGGCCTGTTTGGCTTGGAAGGAGGTAGAGACCTTCTAATTTGAATCAAAGGACAGATTCACCAGTTCCCTTTTGTGTCTCAGTGTGGACACACAGACAAATAATCCTGAGTCTTTATTGGGGATGCTTTACATCTGAGAATACCAGATGAAGCTGAGGATTGCCTCTTTCACCATATTCAAAATAGCAAAGAGAATTGTGTCTTTCTAAAACAGAATAAAATAACAGAAACAATTTTGGCTCTTTGTACATGATTTTTCATGTATATATATACACACACACATATATATATATATGTATATGAAAAGTGATGTGTGTAATTTTTTGCATATCCATTTTATAAAGAAAGAATGATGTACTGCATTTAAATCATTTACATATTACAAAGTAATGTAGTATCTAGGCTTAATTTCCTAACTGCAGTCTGGCCAGTGATATTCTTTTAAGATTAAATTTTCAGACCAATAAAAAGAAATTGCTTGATTTCCAGAGTTGGGAAGCAACTTGGACTTAAAGCTGGGCAGAAAAGATTCAGGATCAAATGAAGAGTATTATGCTTAGCTTAAGAACCAAAAATAACTGAAATCCTAGAAAAGTTCCTTCAGTGTACCACACTGCATCCACATAGGAGTTACTAAACTTGTGAGATGAAAAAAGGAGTTGTGGGTAGTGATTTCTTTCATTACAGTCCATTGGTCTGGTTTCTACCATATTATTGCAAAAGCCTACTAATTTTATTATATGACTAGATTCTGTATTAACATAGGCAAAATTACATGACTCATCCAGTCTATAATTTACTCAGAATTCACAAGTGCAGAATACATCCTAGCATATGGGCATATTTACATGGAAAAACTTACCCCAAAATGGTTTTGTATATGTGAAGCATTTGAATCATTGATTGTATATAGACCCACACATAAATGAAAGCAGAATTTACATAAAGTTTAGATGAAGTAGAATAAAAATCCTAGGAATTCCTATTGCTTATAGATGCTGATGAAACATCAAATGCAAGTGTAATTTACTGAAAGTTACAGTTAAATATTTCTGGCCTATTCTGAGGAATTATTGAACAATTGAAAACCACTTACTTTTAGAATCTGTTCCATTACTTGACTGAAGTGAAATCTAATGGTGGAGTGAAAATCCCAGAGGTCAAAGGGGATGAAGCCTGGAAAGTTTTTTTTGATGATGCTTCCCAAGAAATAGTTGATGAATTTGCCATGCGTTATGGGATTGAATCCATTTATCAAGCTATGACGTAAGTACTGTAGACCATTTATATGTTAAAAAAAATCTCTATTGAAACTTAAAGGAAAAAAAGTAAGCATTCAACTTAAATGAAATTTTGAGTAAGAAAACAACTAAATTTGATGTGCCAGTTTGGTGTTGGCTACCCTTTTATTTTGATGAGGTTGAGTTTAGACTGAGTTCAGATCTCGCTCCCTATTGAATAAAATTTTCCTTGCCCACATAACTTTGTACAGTACAGTTTTGCTTTTGCAATTCAAAATTCACCATTTTACCAGAATAAAAACATCCTTTGACAACATAATCCCTAAAAAAAAATTGCAACCAAGATATGCCATCTCTGTTTACTATCTATTGGCTGATCATAAGTTGTTAATTCTTTAGAGAAAATACACATGTCCATTTTATGTCAATGTTAACCCTTTACACTCCGCTGTCCCCTCTCAGGGGACATTGGAATTCTAGCATATCACTCGGATGTCCCCTCTCAGGGGACATTGCAATTTATTAGTGATTACGGGGAATTGAGTTATTTCAACGCAACTTTTTGAGACATGCATGTTTCCCTGAAGTTTTATCTTGAAATGGCACAAGAAATTAAATCAAAATATCGTAAAATTACTAAGATATAGACAAGAAATGTCAGCGGGTTTTGTGTCGGACGAGAACGTGAGATGCGTGCTCACGACGGTCCAAGCACTTCGCGATGCCACTTGAAAAGAGCGATAAGGGGAGTTTGTAGAAGAAAGGTCGGTTTTCAAACATAGCGCACACTGTATAGTGAGATATATAATTACAAATAAACAAGTCTACATCTGGAGGAAAAGATTTTCAAAACTGAGCTCATTTTGGTTTGAAGCTTCGAGCAGCACACATAGATCTAACGAGGAGAAAATCGGAAAAGTGATTCTTTTCTTAGTGAATAAATTGGTGAAAGCTATTTTGGTAAATATCATCTTGTCAGTTAGTAATAACAATTAGAAATTTTCAACCCATGCATTTATTCATATTTTTATTAGAACAGTGGCAACGCGTCCAACCACGAATGAGTCTCATGACACAAGTGGTAGTGAAGATGAGCTCCAGACAGACCTCTATACAGACATGTCAAACATGCACTAATCAGCCTGCAATGCATATTGGGGAGTGTTACAAAACTTATACTGTACACAATTATAAACAATAAAATATTGGTTTTTTTTTGCAAATATACATTCCTCGATGTCACCCAATTCACATAAGTCCAATATCATTATAATACGTTACTTGGTTCCAAAATTATACTAAATAATACGAGGGTCTGTAAATGCATGTTTCCGCCGCAAAGTAGCGTCGAGTACCTGGTAGCCAATGTCCAGAATGGTTCGGAGTGCAAAGGGTTAATATAATGTAAATTCATGTTTAGGAGTGACAACAGAGTTACTTAGAGGAACACTTGACTTCTCTCCAAGACTTTACAAACTGAAATCTTGAATCAAGCAGTCACCTTTTATTACTGCTTTCTAAAAAGTTCTAGGTGCATGATGGAAACTCAGTGAGTATTTGTAATTGAGTGAATCAGAAGCAGAAGTTGTTACTTAGAATTACTTTTATTCTCAACGTCCCTTGGCTTATCTCTGCATGTCAGAAGTTTTCAGTAGTCAAAAGTAAGCAAAGTGCAACGGAAATGTTTAAGCTATTAAAGGTTTCTTCTTTACCGTTTATGCTGTATTTAAATGTCTTAGAGCGTACCTGTACCTCATTTTTCTAATTTGGGGAAGGTATGGAGTATTGACATTCTTCTCTCAGGGGTTGAAATACAACTTTCATTCCTTTAAACCATGTTTTCAAAATGGTGCTTTTGCAGTTGAACTTAACCTACTATTGACCAATGAATTATTTAACTTTTTAGTGCACAAGGGAGTTTAGTTTGTTGGCCAATGGATTATTTAACTTTTTAGTTCACAAGGTAGTTTAGTTTAGAAGGTAAAATTTAGTTTACCTTTTTTGAAGCTGAATTGGTGCAGAAATAAAGGGGAAGTGTATTAAGTCATCGTCTGGTTGTACATTATTAAATTTTCCTCTTGTGCATTTCATCTAAGAGGAAAACTAAATCTGTTTTGCTGGTAAATATTCTAAACAATAACACCAGAATTCCCCGTCTCCAGGTTACCTCCTACTTACTGTAAAGACTCTCTCCTTTTACCACAGACTTTCTTATATCTTTTGTTTTGGAGCATTTAGGAGAAAGAGGAACAGGATTGCAGTTTTCCTGTTTCAATAAGTGATTGATCAAACACTTTGGAGGTTTGGTTTCCACATAGCAGATGCAACCATCCATCAATAAAAAAGCAATTTACCAAGTTATGACAGTAAGAATGAGCATCTGTGCACTTTTAAAGAGTATTCCATTCCACATTATCTTAACTCATGAGTTCAGGCGTAGAGCCTTTTGCATCTTAATGTGAGGAGCCCTTGATTTTTATCATATTTATGCAAGTATATATATATCCTTGATAATGTTCTGAGAGACCAACTCTTCACTTCTGAAAACATACAGGGAATTTCATATCAGGCATTAATATCATCTGGAGATGATATTTATCAAGAAAATATACTTTATTAGAATATTTAATGATTCTTTCTTGTATTAGAAAATAAACACATTGTCTTTCACAAAGCTGTGTTTCTGTTAGACTATCGTCATGCTTCCATAATAACAAAATAGGGGAAAGAATTAGGAATTAGGTCATTTTTTTAAAAAACCTTAGTGTGTTTAACTGACAACCTATATTTTGGCATTGGTCATCTAAATTTAATTCACATTTGTAGTAGAACTGCTAGGATACAGTTTATTTTAAAGCCACTAGTATTTTTTAGCTGTTTCATTTGTAGGTTACTTCTGAAGAAGAGTGCTGTTTAATTGAATAATACATAACTTTAAGAATTATGTACAGTGTAATATGTTCACCATGTGCCAGGAACTTTTCTAGGCACTGAGGATGTAGAAGTTAGTAAGAAGTCAAGATGTAGTCTCTCATGAAGTCCAAATTCTAAGTGCTGGAATCCTGTTCTGATTAACTGTGAGGGCCTATCCAGGACAATGTGGGTAAAGAAGATAGCCCTCCAGTGAGCACCTAATCTAGGGGGACGAGGAAGAAGAAATTAAATAACAAGTTAATACAGTAAAGTTATACACATGGGTGACGTAAGAGCAGAGACATGGAGGAACCAAACCCAGGCACACATGAGGAGAGGCGTCAGAGGACTGCTAGACAGCTATAGTCTGGTTATACATTCTTAGTCTTCAGCTTCTGTCATTTCCCTAACTCTTACCCATTACTTTCCTGTCCCACATCACTGTCTTCATACTCAAAAACTATATAATTGGGCTCAAGCAATCCAGCCTCAGTGATAAAGTTACAGTACTTTTAGCCAAGGGTTTCAAAAAGTGATCTTTGAATGTCCAAGCTCCACTTTAGTGAAAGATGAATTAAATACTTACTTATCATTGAAATGCATGCTGATCTGAATTTTCAGGAGCAAATACTGTTTGAGTGTATTTCTGATATCAAGAATATGGTCTTTTTATCTTCTACTGTTTCTGTGAAATATCTTCCAATGATCTGAGAATTTCAGTCTTTGTGTGCTTTCCCAAACACCCTGCTCTTCCTTTCATTAAAAAATAATTGATTTTGGAATTTGAATCAAAGCCATTTTCATTCTTGGAAAAATCACAAGATAGGTGTGATTAAAGTGCCCAAGAAATGGTTTGTATATTAGGTAATGGTTTAATTTTTTTTCCCATCATGATGCATCATGAAGAGCAAGTTTTGGGTTATTATTTGAAATACTTGTGACCAACTTTGTCATTTGAGATACTCATGATTTCCACATATTTACCAATAATATTTTGAAAATTAGTGGTTGATAATGTAGTGGTTGCTGAAGGCATGCTAGTAACTATCTCATAATTGTCAATTTAATCATCTTTCTGTAATTATTTTACCCTAACTTTTCCCATGTCACTGATAATCCATTTGTTAAATTTTTTTGATATCCTATTTTTTTGCAAAAGTAAAATAATTTTAATATTAATCCATTTTTAAAAATGCATCTTTGTAAGTTTCTGATTTGTTTAATAAGAAAATGTTTAACATTTCTAGAGATAATAGTAATACTTTCATTTTTAATTATTTACTTAGATCATTGTTAATTTTTGGACATTATTTGATTTCTCCCCTCAGGGTATAGTCCCCATAATTCTCCCACCACCACATCACCTGTGATTCATCACCACAGTCCCTTGTGCTCCTCTCTCCCCTGTTTCAGGCCCTCTACTTTTCTCTCCCCTACTATATGCCTGAGGTCTAGGGTCAGCTTGTAAATTTTGATTTTTTTTCCCTGACACCTTGGTTTCTCTATATTCGGTATATAAGTGAAACCATCCAATATTTATCTTTTTCCTTCTGACTTATTCATCCACATCTTGATCCATTCATCTGTTTGGGGGCATTTAGGCTGTTACCATATCTTGGCTATTATAAATAATACTGCAATAAACATAAGAGTGCAGTTTTCCTTTTGAATAAGTGTTTCTGTTTGAGTAGATTCCTAAGAATGGAATTGCTGGGTCGTATAGTAGATTCATTTTTAGTGTTTTGAGGATCCTCCACACTGCTTTGCCTAGTGACTGGACCAGTTTACATTCCCATCAATTGATTCAAATCAAGGATTTTTACCACATCCTTGTCAGCATTTGTTGTTTTTGGTTTTTTATTGTTTTTTTGTTTTGTTTTGTTTTTAATATGGGCCCTTCTCATAGGTGTAAGGTGGTATCTTATTGTGGTTTTGATTTGCATTTTCCTGATGATAAATGGTTTTGAACATTTTTTCATACACAGTAGTTCTTTTTGACTTATTTTTTTTTGAACAGATACTTTTGAAAGGGATGATTTGCAGTAGGAATATAGTCAGTTATTTTATTTTTATTAATATTTTATATAATTCTTACATCATTTTTCATTTTTG